GCCGGCCGGGACACTGGCCGACCCGGACACCGACCGACCCGGACACGGACCGACCCGGACACAGACCGACCCGGACACCGACCGACCCGGACACCGACCGAACTGGACACCGGCCGACCCGGGCACTGACTGACCGGGAAACTGACCGACTCGGACACCGACTGACTGGGACACCGACTGACCCGGACACCGACCGACCCGGACGGCTTGCCACCCAAAGTCCACCGGCTGCCGCCCCCTTTCCCATCAGCCATCTGATGGCTGGGGGAGGCGACCAACAATACCGACCGACGGGGACGATCATAGACAAAGTCCGCGGCGGGCGTGGGCGGGGAGGAAACCAGGCAGGACCGTGGCGGGAGCGTGCGCTCTGCGGCGAGGGCGCCACACCCAGCCGACAGCGGGTACGAGCGGAGGGGAGACCAGCACGGACCGCGGAGGGGGTGTGCGCCCGGGGAGGAGGGCGCCACACCCAGCCGACAGCGGGTACGAGCGGAGGAGGGGAGACCAGCACGGAGCGGAGGGGGTGTGCGCCGGGGAGGAGGGCGCCACACCCAGCCGACAGCGGGTACGAGCGGAGGGGAGACCAGCACGGACCGCGGAGGGGGTGTGCGCCCGGGGAGGAGGGCGCCACACCCAGCCGACAGCGGGTACGAGCGGAGGGGAGACCAGCACGGACCGCGGAGGGGGTGTGCGCCCGGGGAGGAGGGCGCCACACCCAGCCGACAGCGGGTACGAGCGGAGGGGAGACCAGCACGGACCGCGGAGGGGGTGTGCGCCCGGGGAGGAGGGCGCCACACCCAGCCGACAGCGGGTACGAGCGGAGGGGAGACCAGCACGGACCGCGGAGGGGGTGTGCGCCCGGGGAGGAGGGCGCCACACCCAGCCGACAGCGGGTACGAGCGGAGGGGAGACCAGCACGGACCGCGGAGGGGGTGTGCGCCCGGGGAGGAGGGCGCCACACCCAGCCGACAGCGGGTACGAGCGGAGGGGAGACCAGCACGGACCGCGGAGGGGGTGTGCGCCCGGGGAGGAGGGCGCCACACCCAGCTGACAGCGGGCTGACGTGCCTGCCGCCGCGTCAGCCCGGAACGGACTGCCAGTCCCGGAGGCAAACACACGCACACACACAGCTGCGGACACAGGCTGTGTCTGCAGACGCCAGCGTCTCTCGTGCGGAGAACGCAGAGCGACTTCACGGAGTCTTGCTCAGCACACCAGTCACACGGAAGCCCCGTCCCTGTGGTCCTGTGGCCCGGTTAATCCGGACGCCCTGTGAGATCGCGACCGCAGATGTGGTCAGATGTGCTCAGATGTGGTCTCGAAAACGACCTGGGCAAGCTGAGCCGGACTTTCCGCTCCTGGTCTGATTAAGATGCTACGACGGGTTGGAAATCAAAGTCAGAAGTTTGAAAATAGGCCTCGGCGACATCTGGCATTGTAGTAAGCTAAGCGTAACTAAAGAAGAGGGGTACATCCGAACCAGTTTCTCGGATGCATTGTTTCGGACGATGCAAAATTTCCCAACTTTAGAGAAAGAAAAAAAACGCCTGGCGAATGAAAAATCAAAAATCATATGAACCACGGAACAGCGCTAGCGTTTTACGCGTGACCCATAAGTACCCCCGCGCAAAGAACCCGACAAACGACCTCTGTTCGTGGGCCGCATCCTACCTAATATCGTCATGGCAACGGGGCAAGCCAGCGCTTGAGACTCGCAGGCGAGGAATGCCGAGAAAAGCTGACAAGGCAAGCTCCCAGAACGAGCGCTCCTCAATGGCAAACCCCCAAACAACACCATTCCAATGGCAGTTAGTAGAGCCGCCGCTGCACCTGCCGCCCCGCACTCTCGGACCAAGCCTGTCAGCGGCGGCCGCCAGCGCGCCCCGCGCCGCCGGGAGCCGGCTGCGGGCCCCAGCTGGCGCCACAGGTGCACCGCCGGCCCAGAGACTGGACGCACCGGCCTTGAGCGGACGAGGCACGCCGCCGACGAACACGGTCTTGCGCGGGTCGAGCGGCAGCGACGCGTCCAGCACGTAGTCGGCGTCGGAGAGCTTCCACGGTCGGATCTGCACCGGCTTGTCCTTGATGGTCGGCGACGAGACACACAGGTAGAGCTTGTCGTCGTCCTGGATGCACGTGTCGATCAGCTGCTGCACCGAGCACTCGTCCTGCCGGGCGGGGCGGGGCGGGTCGGGTTAGCCGGGCGGACTCACTCAGTGGGCGTGGACTCGGCGGGCGCGGCCACCACGGACGCGAACTCGTCGGACACGGACTCGACGGACGCGGACTCGGCGGGCGCGGACCTGACGGACGCGGACGCGGACTCGGCGGACGCGGACTCGGCGGACGCGGACTCGGCGAACGCGGACTCGGCGGGCACGGACGTGACGGACGCGGACGCGGATTCTGCGGAACACGGCGGATGAGCCGGCCAGATTAACCAGTGGCCGCCGCACTCCGCCTAATGATGTCCCAGCGACGGCCGGGCTCGTCTCGGGGTTCTCATACATCGCCGCCCCCGAGGCGACGCAAAACGGTCGAAGCCGCGGTCAGCCCCGCCGTGGTGACATGCCCGCTCGGCAGGCGGCCGCTTTTTGCCGGCGGCAGCCTTTGTTTTGCCACAGGTAGCGCACAAGCTACGTGGCAGACAGTCTAGTTGCTACAAATGGAGTCGGCGAAAAACAACAGGGCGATTACGGCCTTTGCGGAGCCGAGGGCACCGCGCAGTCGGGCCACCGGGACTGCCCCGGGCACCCTTGCGCCGAGGGCTGCTGGGGCTCGTGCAGCCCTACACGGAAAACCGCGCACCAGGGGCACAAACAGCGCTATTGCTCGAGTCAGCGCAGCGCTGGTGCATTGAGACTAGAGGTGCGGGGTTCGACTCCCTGTGGTGTCGCCCTTTCTGCCAGGGCGAGAGGCAGGCGACCCCATATAGCGTCAGCAGCTGACCGCATCGGAAAGCCCCGATGACACCCATACACACGCACACACCCACATACACAAACACACACGCATGGCTACCGCATGAAAGGGAAATTGCTGCCGGCGGTTGATATAACGAAACCTGAAGCAACCGCATTTATAAACCAACTGTACATACATCGTGTAAAAAACAATGCAATGGGTAGCCCATAAATCAGCCAGAAAACACAGATGCTATGCAAACAAAAATCGACTTCAGGCAGCGGGTCATTCCAAAATCCCAACACTTTCAACACGCTCCATAAAGTTTGTTTCAAATACCCCACCAATGACTTCCGAATTTGCAATTCAGAGTGGGACCCAAGCACAGGCGACGTGAAAGCCACCACCCGCCCCAATGCTTCACGGCCCCGCCGATATCGTAACAGCCCTGGTGCGCAAACGGGGACCAACGGCGCCCCACAGGACGCGGGCATGGTGCGTCACAGTCATGTACCCGGTACCGTCTCAAAGACATGGCCAGGGCGCAGCGCATGCACATGTACTGCACTTCCGGACGCCTCGGCAATGCCAGAATACGGCGGAGGCCGGCTCAGCACCAGCGAAGAACAGCTGGGCGTCTGGCGGGTGAACTGAGACAGTCCTCGCGGGAGCCGGCGGATGATGGACAGCGCTCACGTACACACTGAGTCTGGCTCCATGTCAGGGTAACAGGTGCCGCTCCATGCAGGTCAGAAGTGAGGCGCTCTTATTTCAGCTTTCCTCGCACAACAAGAGCCTTGAGATGCCTCAGCAAAACGTTGTGGAGGAAAGAAGTACAAAGTTTCATGATGTTTTGAGATTTAGCTGTTTCCAGAGTTGGCCCGAGTTCAACTATGCACCAGTGTTCACACAACGCAGCTCAAAACACAGTTCCGTGCGCCTGGCTAACCCGCGCCCGCCTGCGCTAACGCCTGCCTGCGTCCGCCAGGCCGGGCTCCCGCGCTCCTGCTCCCCCGTCTCTCGTCCGTGCGTCACGAGACGCCTCGGCCGGCGCCAGCGGCGGTTGCTGCTGCGGGCGGGCTCACGCTCTCCTGCTCCCCGTCTCCGTCCGTGCGTCACGAGACGCCTCGGCCGGCGCAGCGGCGGTTGCTGCTGCCGGGCCGAGCTCCCGCGCTCCTGCTCCCCCATCTCTCGTCCGTGTGTCACGAGACGCCTCGGCCGGCCGCCAGCGGCGGTTGCTGCTGCCGGGCCGAGCTCCCGCGCTCCTGCTCCCCCCATCTCTCGTCCGTGCGTCACGAGACGCCTCGGCCGGCGCCAGCGGCAGCGCTGCTGCCGGGCCGGGCTCCCGCTCTCCTGCTCCCCCGTCTCTCGTCCGTGCGTCACGAGACGCCTCGGCCGGCGCCAGCGGCGGTACTGCTGCCGGGCCGGGCTCCCGCGCCCTGCTCCCCCGTCTCTCGTCCGTGCGTCACGAGACGCCTCGGCCGGCGCCAGCGGCAGCGCTGCTGCCGGGCCGCCGCGCCGCCGCTGGGTCAGTCAGTATCGACCGGCCTCCGGGGCCGGGGCAGCACAGTTGCGGCGCCGGGCGGCGCACACGCAACACTTGGTGCCGCTGCAATTACGGCCGGCCGGCCGCCCGGCTGGGACGCATCGGCGCCGACAGGCCGACCGGCACACATGTGCGCGCGCGCGGCCGGCTGCGTCGGTGCAGGCTCCCACCCGTACAGACAACGGACTGCGTTTGTTATAGATGCACTGCTGTCTGCGGGTAGTGCTGGGAAACGTGGCTTAGAAGTTTTGATGTCATTAGGTTGCGTTGAGGCTAGTCCTTGCTAGATACCACAGTCCTGACAGCAAAACGCGCTGAAGCTGAAGGCATTCTAATTACGAAATAGGTAAGCTTGGGAGACCTACGGGTGACGGAACTACTACACACCAGCACCACACAGAGGAAAGGCTCTACGAAATGTTCAGTACTTTTCGTGTGAATGATTACAGGCTTAACACGCAAGGGGACTCGTCTACCTTCCAAACATTCAGCGGCTTAGCATTGTTTTTCAACCAGAAAAAGAAACCGATGCTGTCAGTATGTATGCATGGAGCACGGAGGCAGTTTACGGGCCTGATCACGGTTACTACGGAGGCAGGTTACGGGCCTGGTCACGGGACTAGCCTGAGCTCAAAACACCGTGACCTAATGCAAATGACCCCTCCTGGGCACAACCAGCGTTGTGCGGGCGGCCCGGAGTCGGACATTCTCCACACGAGCGCGCTGGGCGTTGATCGGACAGCGGGCCGCGATCGACACGGCCTCCGGCGTCAGCGGCCATCGCCTCCTCACCATGTACCACGGACTCACCTGATCCCCTGACTTAATCCCCTTGGAGGGGGGGGGGGGAGGGGGACACCGCCGTCATGACCCGATAGCAGTGGCTGCAGCAATCAGCGTCGGCGTCGTGCAGACAGCCTGCACGGCGGCGCGCATGACCTCCAGGTCCGCAAACAAAGTACTAATCTCTCGAAGGGGCCCGACGTATCTCATTGTAACGGAGCCGACCCCCGGTGTTGACACAAGCCGGCAGTCACATCCTGGACGAGAGTGACGACGCTACGGCAAACAAGCGCAAAAAGGCGAATGACGATACGAAGGTAAGCAAGTGTGAGGGAAGTAATGACGTCATGATTTTCACGAAGGATTAATGTATTGAAAAGCTATTAACAAGCTTTTCAAATGTTCCTTCAAGTCCTTAACAGGGAGCAGGTAAGCCAGACTATCCCACTACGAATAAGTTTTATATTAAAAGAGACCCTTTGTAGAATTTCTTCAGGCCATGGCTATAGTTCACTCAAATTCAAGGAAAATAGCAGGCCTGGCAATCAGCAACGCGCATCGGTCGCCGGCGCTGGATGTCGGCTGCCCCGCTATTGTTTACATCGATCCTGTATGGAGTAAGGCGGCCTTTAAGAATCATCTCATTCAAGGGTCATTCATCTTGGATCATGTTCAGGTATGTAAGCCCTGTCAGCTCTGTAAGTACTGTCAGCAAGTTCTGCGAGTATTGTAGGCTTTGCAAGCACTGCATACCTATGAACACGAACGCTACACGGATACAGGGGTTTCTTCTGTTGCGTCAGCGTTAGAGATACCAGCGAAGGTTTTAACAACTTTTCAAATATTTCGGGAGGGGGAGATCTGGTGTCACACCTGTCCCTAAAAGCATGATCTTGCTTATAGCTTCTTGATGCCAACCGCAATTTCATCAACTTTTGGGTCTTTACAAACATGTTTTTAAATATATGCGAAACATTTTCAACCGGAGATCGCTGATAAAAGTATGTGGTATATGTAGTATGTGGCCAAAAAATAAACGTTGAAAAGTTTTATAACTTTAGGAAAAATGTTTTTATACCGTATTCTCTCGTGAAAACGGCTCACGTAACTTGATATTATGTAATAATGGAATGGGTGTACCATACACGATAAAAGAAGCACAAAGTTACCCTCACTAAACCAGTTCCCCCGCATGTAGTCACTTTGAAGCTGACATTCTTGGGCGGATCGTCCAAAGGCTCCCGTTGTCTCCGCACCCGTTGCGCCCCCTGCCCCCCCCCCATCCCCCTCCTCCCGATTCTGCCGTCCCGGCCTCAGGGTCCTGCGGCGACCTCGGGCCCGGCCGCGCGCCCCCAGCCAACACGTGGCACCCGGGCACTCACCTGGAACAGCAGGAAGGCGTACCCCTTGGGCGGGAAGTACGACTTGGACTCGGCCTTGTGCGGCCAGTCGACCACCAGCGGGCCGAAGCGCCGGAACGAGGTGGTGATCTCCTCTGTGAAGGGCGGCACACAACGCCGGTCACACCGCGGCCGGCGCGACGGGCGGCAACGCGAGCACACCGCCGCCCAGCAGGGGGGCTGCCGGAGACCCGCTCTACAAGGCACTCGACGTCCGCCGCACGCCACGGAGGGGGCCCCAGGATGGTAGCGTGCATGCATTATGCAGCCTGAGCTCTAGCGAGGGGTCACGTGACTCAACACGGCCCGCCTGCCACGGATGCGTGCCACTATTCGTCACTAAGACGCATGGCATGCCCCGCGCGACATGCGATGGAGTACGAAGAAGCGTCAATAGTCCCAGTCAGTGTGCGTCACACTGCTGTCGCCCCCGACGACGGAGCCAGATGGTGTAAACGCCGACGGGCAGAGCGTTAGGACGGAGCAGCCCCCGACAGTCGGCGGTGATGGTCCCGACCCCTTCTGAGGCAGCGCCGAGGCGAAACAGTGAAAACGGCGGCCGGTCTCCGCCGGTCACCTCTGTCAGCTTAGACGGGATCCCCGCCGTCGGGGTTCACCGCGCGCGCGTCTGGGCCCGACCCGTGACGACACCGCCACGACGAATGGCGCCCAACGTAGCGCGTCGCGCGCTGTCACGCCGATCGCCTAAAAAGGGGCCGACAGATACGATCGCTCGCCGGCCGTTTTTCATGTCGGGGACCGCGACGTCACGGACGGTGTCGCACCCATGGTGAGTGGTGAGTCGGCTGTGGCCCGGCCAGCGACCGATGGTGAGCGGCGGGTCAGCTGTGGCCCGACCAGCGACCGATGGTGAGCGGTGGGTCAGCTGTGGCCCGGCCAGCGACCGATGGTGAGTGGTGGGTCAGCTGCGGCCCGACCAGCGACCGATGGTGAGCGGTGGGTCAGCTGCGGCCCGACCAGCGACCGATGGTGAGCAGAATCGGCTGTGGCCTGGCCAGCGAACCGATGGTGAGCGGTGGGTCAGCTGTGGTCCGACCAGCGACCGATGGTGAGCAGAATCGGCTGTGGCCCGACCAGCGACCGATGGTGAGCGGTGGGTCAGCTGTGGTCCGACCAGCGACCGATGGTGAGCAGAATCGGCTGTGGCCCGACCAGCGACCGATGGTGAGCGGTGGGTCAGCTGTGGCCCGACCAGCGACCGATGGTGAGCAGAATCGGCTGCGGCCCGGCCAGCGACCGATGGTGAGCGGTGGGTCAGCTGTGGCCCGACCAGCGACCGATGGTGAGCAGAATCGGCTGTGGCCCGGCCAGCGACCGATGGTAAGCAGTAGGTCGGTTGCGGCCTGACAAGCGCTCAACGCTTATCCGATGGCGAGCCGCGCGCCCCTGCGCCGCCAGCTTTTCTGTTGTCATTACGTCCCCAGCGGTAGCAGAGAAAACCTAATGCCGTTTTTATAGCTTATCTAATTCACCGTTTCCCGCGATGTTTCACGGACGATGACACTTAAAATACACTCAAAAGCTTTGGTGAGAAAAACCAGCCGAAAATTCCCAGATCAGTTGCCATTGAGAACGCACAGGGTCATTTCAGTCAATCGATAATTACTGGCCATCTGAACGATTGGGGCCAAACATCAAACGTTCAAAAAATGCCTATTACGTATCCCGCGAAAAAAACCTGACGTGCCGAAGCATGACCCTCACGCTACAGCTTCATCCAAGCGCGGCAGGGGCCGAGCATGGTTCCACTTCCCCCACAGCACGCAACGACGAACTGTGTCTAGGCACAGCTCACTCCGCCGCTACCGCCGCGGCTGCCTGCTCGCCAGCCCGGCCCTCGTTAGCGCTGCCCGCTCCTCCTCTCTTCTCCCGACGGCAGACCGGGGCCGATGGATCACCGGGGCGCACGGCGCCGCCAGCAGCGTCGGCGGAGCCGTGTCCATCGTACATCGATCGGTCCCGCCGAGGGCGGCACGCACCGCGCGCGTCCCGGCCGCCCGCGCCAGCGTCGCCAAAACACTCCGCGCAGTCCGTTGTTTGCGCGGCGCGGCGCGCGGCGGGTTTGCCGGCGCCGACAGCGGCGCACGGTGGGGCCTCCTTGTTTACGGCGACGGCGGAAGTGGCGACGCGACTGTTCGCCGGCACCGCCCGCGCCACGCTTGACGACACGACGACACGCCGGCACGCGACGCGCCGGGCAATCAACGTCGTCGCGTGGCGAGCCGGGTGACCGGCGCGGCCACTTCCATTTGGGCCTGGCGACGGCGGCCACGCGCCGGCCGAACTGTTTTCCGGGCAGCCGCCGCGCCGAGCGGCGGCTCATCATCGGCGCACGAGCGCCCCCTTACTCGACCCATTCGCGCAGCAAACTGTCTGCCTAATCAGCGACGGGAAAACGAGGCGCAGTTAAGCCGCTCGTAAACACCACAGGAAGTGTTTCCAGGCAGCCTGAAGATCACAGCATAATTCGGCTATCATGATGTTGTCCTGGTGTTTAGCGCGCGGCTTAGACGCCTTCAGCCCAAACAACAACCACTAGATAGCGGCAAGGCTGGGAGGGCTGCTTTTACGAGGGAGCAAGACACAACATGCTGTAATCTGTAACATCACGTAAACACGTGGCGTGATATAATGCGCGTCAAACAAAAACCTTGCGACACCAAGAACTCCTAGCACGTGGATACAGTGTAAACACAGTACGATTCAGGCATTACGTTCTGGACAGTAACATTTTTTTGTCTTCCAATATCGCCGATGCCATTCGCCACGTACGGCATTTCAGTTAAAGTCATTTAATTACAGACGGCGTGTCATGGCATGGAGCTCTTACGGATAGACAAATGTAAACCTTTACCACCCACAACGTCACACAAAAATGGCGGTGAGTAAGTAAGGTCTGTGCGAGAGGGTGGGGGAATAGATGAGGGATACGTGCGTGATCGAAAGAATAAACTAAGTAGGTCTGAAGATGACCGAAAAAACACAAGTGGCTTCATACAGGCGAGCGAACAGGCAGACAAGCAAACCGGCCAATGACTGGATACCCAAATGATCGCATGATTTCGAAGTTCCCATCCATGCATGCTTCCGCGCTAGACTTTGTCCCGCTGCCCCGACCCCTGCACTGCGCGCGCTCGGCGCCCTCACGCACCCTCGTCGATGTCGGGCGGCAGGCCGCCGACGAACACCTTGCGCGAGTAGCGCTCGCCGTTGTCGCCCGAGCCGGAGGAGCGGGGCGAGGTGCGCGACGGACTGAGCGCCGACAGGCCGTCCAGCAGGCCGTGCTCGTCCAGTAGGTGCGCTGACTCGTCCAGGCCCGGGTAGAAGGGCGGCTTGCCTGGAGGCGGACGAGGCAACGTCGTTAGAGGGGCTGGTTTAGGGGGGGGGGGGCAAACCCGTTGGGGGCACGGTGCGATTCAGGTGTGGCTGGTCTTGACACCAGACGATTCAGAAACACCCAGGACACTAGAGACCACACAGCACACGCCAAGAAGGGTCGGGCTGACGCAGTGACGTAATGACGAGAGGGGTCGGGCTGACGCAGTGACGCAGTGACGCAGTGACGAGAAGGGTCGGGCTGACGCAGTGACGTAATGACGAGAGGGGTCGGGCCGGCGCAGTGACGCAGTGACGAGATGGGTCGGGCTGCTACGGTGACGCAGTGACGAGAGGGGTCGATCTGACGCAGTGACGCAGTGACGAGAGGGGTCGGTCTGACGCAGTGACGCAGTGACGAGAGGGGTCGGGCTGACGCAGTGACGCAGTGACGAGAGGGGTCGGGCCGACGCAGTGACGTAATGACTACATGGATTGGGCCGCCGCAGTGACGCAGTGACGAGAGGGGGAGGGCTGGCGCAGTGACGCAGTGACGAGGGGTCGGTCTGACGCACTGACACAGTGACGAGATGGGTCGGGTTGACGCAGTGACGCAGTGACGAGGGGTCGGGCCGGCGCAGTGACGCAGTGACGAGATGGGTCGGGCTGACACAGTGACGCAGTGACGAGGCGGGGAGGGCTGCCGCAATGACACAGTGGCGTGAGGGGGAGGGCTGCAGCAGTGACGCAGTGACGAGAGGGGTCGGGCCGGCGCAGTGACGCAGTGACGAGATGGGTCAGGCTGACACAGTGACGCAGTGAAGAGAGGGGGAGGGCTGCCGCAATGACACAGTGGCGTGAGGGGGAGGGCTGCAGCAGTGACGCAGTGACGAGAGTAGTCAGTCTGAAGCAGTGACGCAGTGACGAGAGGGGTCGAGCCGGCGCAGTGACGCAGTGACGAGATGGGTCGGGCTGACACAGTGACGCAGTGACGAGAGGGGTCGGGCTGACGCGGTGACGCAGTGACGAGAGGGGTCGGGCTGACACAGTGACACAGTGACAAGAGAGATCGGGCTGACGCATTGACGCAGTGACGAGATGGGCCGGGCTGCCGCAATGACACAGTGACGGGAGGGGTCGGGCTAACGCAATGACGTAATGACTACATGGATTGGACTGCCGCAGTAACGCAGTGACGATGGGTCGGGCTGACGCAGCGACGTAGTGACGAGATGGGTCGGGCTGACGCAGTGACGCAGTGACGCAGTGCAAAGAGCAGCGCGCTGACCACACCAAGTCGACGACCTTGACAACCAAATCACCCGGCGACCTTCGCACATCTGAGCATCATTCCGTGCAAGATAACACGCAACGCTGCGCGTGTTCTCGTTACAGCCCAAAGTGTCACACTGCCGGACTGGGCCTGGCTCGGCGTTGCATCTCGCGCCACGAGTCCGGGTTGGATCCTGGTTCTTGTTAGATCCTTCATCATAGTGCGGTGTTGAATCCTGGTACATGCTGTATCACTCGGCACCATTCTCGGACCCTGCGTCCCTCATCGTTCAAGAACCAGGATCCAGGGACCGGTTCAGAGGAAGAAAGCTTGGCAACTATGCGCATGTTTGGTACAATATCACAGTGCACTGTGAGCCGTTTAATCCCGGCCGATTACACGGGAGTACTCTGACCACTGACGTGCCGAACAAAGACAAGCTGGGTTCACCAGAACAGGGAAAACCACGCCCAGCGGCGGGCAAGCCTCCTCCCGAAAGTAACGGAAAACGCTCAGCACGGCAGATTTGTCCTCGGGTTGTTTTGTACTGTTTTTTTTTCTTGATGACAACACCCTTGCTGCAGGGCCGTCTCGACAAGGGCCGTCGCGACTGATGTATTGTGAATCAGACGCCGCGAAAAACCGGGCGGCTTCGAAGCGAGTCATTCTGGCTAGCTATTTTCATGGCCAGGATATGATAAGTAAATATGACTTCCAATCACGGCGCAACGGAAAGAGCTATCCGGGAAGCCACCGTATCTGTATGGAGCATCAGTAGCGAACAGTGCCAAGGTTTGTTTGTACGGTCCCGTCGAGCGCCAGCCGCAGGAGTGATCCATCACTCGACCGATTCTGTCCTGCCACCCAACAACAAGTGTCAGACAGCGCGCAAAAACCCACAAAAAACGCGCCCAGGCTCACATACGGAAAAACAGGGACGGCTTTCCACGGCGGCGGCGAATGAGGCGGTGCGCCAGAGCGCCGCCCGTCGGCAGCGGCGCCGGCCGCATCGCCTGTGTGGCGGCACCGCGGAGCCGTTCCCGGCAGCGACGTGGCCAGCTCTGATCGACGCCGACGTTTACCGGCCGACCAGCGCGGCGGCGTGCTGACGGAGCACGGCAGCCGGGGAGGGGCGGAGGCACAGCCACAGTCCAGCCAGCCCTGCAGACGCGGCCGTCTTCTCTACTTAGTGTCAGGTTGTGAGCAATGTCATGTGCTAGATAGCGCGGCAACGAAAAACCAAAACAAAACACAGATGCTGAGTCTCGGAAATCTAAATGAGACAAAACATCAGGCATAACAGAAACGCAACAAAATCACGAAGAACAGCCTCAAGAGCAGGCGGCCGGGCCGACTCTGAGCCGCGCTCGGCCGACGGGCGTCTGGCCCGCGGTGCGCTGTCGATCAGTCGCGGCGGCGGCCGGCCCTGCGCAGCACGCAGTCATTGTCAGCCGGCCGGCGCCGCCCGCCGGGCCGAGACAAACCACTGACAGGCCAAAGGTCAACACCAGCGGCACAGAAGTCCTGCGCCGCGGCTGCCGACAGCGGCCGGACCGGGCCAGATGACCGGGCGGGCAGCGGCGCTCGCGACGTCACGACAGGCGCGTGCTGGCGCCGACCGCCGGACGCGTGGGGCGCTCCAGTCAGCCGCTGCCCGTTCAGCCGTCAAAGTGAGCAGCTGTTCGCCTTTTTCATGTAAGCATTTATCACACGACACGCTCAGCGGTACTTTCCTGCTGCGAGCGAACCTTCCATGGCTAAGGACCGGTTGTTCGTACAACGTCTCCCACGGACGGACGTCCAAGAAGGGCTTAAAAAACGACGAGTCCCGCACGGTCCGTGAAGTTCCCGGAGGCTCCGGGGCTGGTCGGGGTAGTCCCTATCCAGGAGCCGTGTGACCTGCAGATCAGCCGCTCCCCCCTCCCCGCCCCTTTGTGTGGGCCTCGCCGCGGTAGACTTCACGAACGTTGCCGTGTTTTGCAGATCAATCCAGACACGGAAAGTTAAGCTCCTCGACATGTAATCTTCTTACGGAGGGGCACACTGCCGTCGTATCGCGAGCGTAGGCGTAAGCACAACACAAGCGGGAGGGGTACAAAGGAGCACTGTCCACAATTTTGCGGCTGAGGAATAAGCTACTTCGCTTACGTGCTACCAGTGCAGCGTAGCGGTCGACGGAAAAGTTCCGCGGCGCTTAACAGCAACAGCTCAGCCCGATGCGTTGCATAACTGGACAAACAAAGTGGTGTGATAACGAAATGGGGTTTGGTGAGCTAAACAGCCATCACCATGGAAACGTTGAGTATTGAGAGCAGTTTTTTTCGGAAGACATGGCCGGAGGAAAAATGTTGGATATAATGTTGTACCGCGCTGCGTTCAGATTTGGCAGTGCAGCGCTGATGACAACGCTCAGATGCAAAAAAAAGGCATTCATTCACTCACACCTGAAGTGACATATCATCTCAGTCGCGGCCCCAGGGCTGTGGGCTGGAAGACGCGTGTGCGTGACAAGCGCCGTCGGCCGGCCAAAGAGGCGCCCGCCACCCTCCGCTCGCGTGCGTTTCGCAACGGCGCCAGCCTGTAGAAAGGCGCCGCACCGCGCGCCGGACGCGTGCCCTATCCGGCCAGCTGTTCAGGCCTCACGTGCCCGGGGGGGGGAGGGGGGGGGGGGGGGCTCGGCAGGAGGTCGCCGCCGGGCCGGCGAAAGGCGCGCTATCGTCACCAGCCCGCTCGCGCCCCCATGACTCAAGCGCGCGTGTCACCACACCAGCGAGCAGCGGGGAGCCCAGGCGGGGTCCGGCTGGGCGTCAGACGGGCGGCGGCGGACGCGAGCAGAGCGCTCGGGCCAGCAGCCAGGCAATTACACCCAGGATTTGGGGGGGGGGGGGGGAGGACGGCTAAGAAACATTTACATTATCTCTTTCCATGCACCACCATAAGCCTGGCGCTACTTTTTCCCAGAGGTTGGTAGGATCGAGACCCCACAAAGCGATAATTCCCACCATGCCGTGCAACCACCATGCTGTGTGTGGCTTTTCGACACGGCTTGAAATCAAGCAGTTGTCAAAACAGCAGTCGTGCCAAAGCATGACTTGCTGGCCAACCGCCGACCATTGAGCTGGATAGCCAACGCGTCTGCGTCAGCGCGCCGTCTGCCTTCTGCGCCAGCGCGTCGAGCAGCCATTTTCGGCGGCCGCGATGTAGTTGGCTGATGCTGCAGCTCTCCTAAATACGGGCGCACGCATTCACAGCCGCTATCGCGGACCGTGCCGGCATAGCAGAGTCCACGGCGGGGGAGCCGCGCCAACCCATGCCGGAACCACAGGCCATTTAGAACGGCATGATGTGCTGAAGCGCCTCCCTCGGGGAGCTCGTTGGCATTCAAAGCAGGCGCGCCCGAATAAAGAGCCGGACGGAGAAGTTCGACACGACGAAGTGGGTACAAAGTGGGCGCCTACGCTCCTCTGCGGCCGTCCAAGTTAACCAGAAGGGCGCGATTTTATAAAGTACAAATTGAATGATCTTTTTAGTTTTGGATATATTGTCACTTGTGTGCCAAATTGCGGATGCCAAGGGCGTTCCCAGGACAGGTGCATCCTATCGTTCTTTTCAATCAGCCAGATGTCACTGCATTCCAACGTGGGGACAGACCACAAGTGTCCCGAACGTCTCCACCGCGGCTGAAGCACTCGCAAACGAACTGCGAAATATCGAGCCGCCGCGTCGTTACATAACTTTAGCAGCCACCCAACAGCGCCCGCTGTGCGCGAGGTCGTCTGCACGCTGCACCAGAACACGCCGTGGCGCCGGGGCGCCGCGGCGCCGCGTCGGAGCGGTCGCAATCCGGTCCCAGTGCCCCGGCCCAGCTGGCGCCGTCCCCTGCACGGTGGGAAGCGGGGAAGCGGCGCAGCGCGGCGCCACACGGCGGGGCGCCGGCGGCCGCGGGCTCTGGCCTTGGTGCGGTCCCTCACACGGCCCAAACCAGTTAACGTCGCGCCGGCCGGCCGTCGGCCGCGGCATGCGGGGGAGGACGGCACAGGTGGCAGCCGCCCCCCCCCCCCCCCCACGTCAGCACGGCGGCCCCTCCCTACCGGCCGCGAACTCGGTCGGACTGCCGCCACGCGCCGCGGCTCGACCATCGGTGGATCAGGCATCCGGGCATTCCAAACCGACGGGAGGGAGGCCCCCTGGACCGCCGGCGAGGGCGCCGAACGAGACGGCATGACAGCAGCGGCCGCAGAGTCATGCAACGCGCTCATGCCGGGCCGGAGCGGCTATAACGCTGGCAGGCTCCTGAAGACGGGTGTCTCCGTGCTAGATCGGACCGCGCGATAAGCAGAGATCTACACGGGTGACTCAGGTTCTTCGATTGACGTGGCGGTGCACGCTGTCTGCCTGAGTAGGCCACTCAAGGTGCAGGCGGATTACAGTGGCGCGACGTGTTTTTTGCTACTGCGTACCCGACCCCCTCCCCTACCAGGTTCACGGAGCAGGCAGGCCAGTTCGGCACAGGCGCTTCCTGTCGGCAACCTTCCACCAATCATCCCCAGATCGGCCGAGGTGTCTTTCGGCCACGCCACGCCGTCCGTCAGTCGCCGACAACGGATGGCTCAAACGTTAACTGCGAACTTTCACCGGTCATTTGCAGCCTCCGTGGTCCGAGGCAGGGATGCTATCCGCTATCTGACGACAATGGGCACGAACCCCAGAGCGGGTGCATTGTTTGGCCCGACTGACAGACGGGCCAGCTGGCAACTGGCTAACGAGGGCCGGTCCGGGCCCGGACCGACCGAGCTGCAGCATTGTCAGGCACGCGTTCAACCTCCGCAGTTCTGCCCGGTAAACAAGAGGAGGGGGGGGGGGGGGGAAGTATCCGTCTAACTGGGCGGACACAGCTTGGGTGGTGCGTTTTTTGCTCGTGCCTACCAGGGCACGAGCAAAAAAGCTTTACTTAACAAGTAGTTTGAACCCGAAGCCACCCGCATAGCCGTTGCAAACAGCTGATCGGATAAGGTGCGTTTACTTTGGGAGGCGCACAGAGAATAAGATAATCACCTGAATTTCACTCAAAACGTCCGCGGAAAGACGACTGCCACCCTGCTATCCGCCCATTCCGAACGACGCGACCAACCTGTGCAACCACCAGACCTTGAACCTCTGCAGAAACATCCGAAAACGCCAGCCCAACTGCCACCGACAAACATCCCGAACATAACAGACGTTTATTGCACCACGACTCCGCCCCCCCCCCCCCCCCCGTACCCGGTCCCAACCCCACCACTGCAGCGAGCCGAACGCCGTTGGCGGGCTCCGGCCACCTCCGGCCAGCAGTAGGACACCAATGAGCGTGACACCGGCGGCCGGCCGCTGCGCCAGCATCGCGGCCCGGCGCGCGCTGACTCGGCGCCCAAGATTGCAGCGACGGCAGGGTCGCACCGCCCCAGCCAGATCGGCGCCCACCGGCCGCGCAAACAGATCTATAAGCGGCGGTGGCGGCGCGCGCGGCCCGTCGGCGACGTGGCCCGGCGGGCGGCGCTGGCCGCACGCCAGCGGCGCGGCACCCGCGGCGCGGCCGGCACGCGCCGCGCCGCGCCGCTCAGCTGACGCCGTCAGGTGACGCGCCGCGTCGCCCGCGGGGCCGCACCGCGCGGAGCCCGGCCGTCTCGAGTGGGCGACGCGCGAGGCACGAGATAAATGGGGGGGCGGGGAGGGCGGGGAGGCGCCGCGTGACCCACTTGGGCCAGAGGGAGAGACAGAGGGGCGGAGGTCGTCCTGGCACCCGATGACGGTTCGTGCCGCCCACAGACCCGTCAGCGGGCGCGGTGGGGACGTAAATGCTGTCGCTGAAAACGTGTTCTAATCTCGCTGAAAATAACGGTTCTTCTCGTCCACACATTATTTGTAAATGTAACACATGCAAACGCATCCCAGAAGTGCGCCACGCACCAGACCGATACCAACCTCATCCTCAAAACACAGTCAGATCCACTCCACTGCGCCCCGGTCCGACCGGGGAGCCACATCGACGTCACCTCTGGCTGCAGGACATGACAGATGCACAGCCGCACCGGCTCCCGCAGATCCCGAACGGCACACACGGCTGTGGCAGCGAACGGCTCCGCGAGCGGCCGACCATAGTGTGCATGGACACACTCTGGACAGCTGCGCTATTCATTGCTGGCCGACGCTATCAAACGCTTGCCTTTCATTTCCCGTGTCCATATTGTCTCAACCGCGGTGGAAAGAATCAATCCCCTTTATAACGGACTCCATAGACCGAACCTGAACGACGCATGAGCCACGAACGTACGTGCGTACGCACACATTAGTGGCTTTGCCACGGATCAAAAGTTGGGAGACGCTGAACATTGTTGAGGCATTTCTTTCCATGCAACGCTGTAGCCGGCATAATGTTTAATTCTGCAGAAGGAGGGGGCGTGCCGTGCCCAAGTCGAAGCCCATAGACGCAAACACACACCGAGGATGTTTGTAACAGGACACACAACAGCGACCTTCACGCAGAGGACGCCAAAGTGTGTCCTAACGATGTTCAAAACTGCCGCATCATGGAGGGTCGCTACAGCCATCCTCCGCCGGAAGGGAGTGACCCAATCCCAACCAGGGACAACGAGCGCGTCAGGCTGACGGACCGTCAGAAGGGAGAGACCCAATCCCAACCAGGGGCAACGAGCGCGTCAGGCTGACGGACCGTCAGAAGGGAGAGACCCAATCCCAACCAGGGACAACGAGCGCGTCAGGCTGACGGAGCCGGCCGTGCGTGGTGCTCTCCAAACATGACTTCTCCGAATAAACGAACCCCGCACTGACCCACCAACACAGGCAGCTCACAATCTGCATACAGCGGGTTCCCCAGTCCCCACAAGACCACACACATACCACTCCCTAATCTCACAAACCCTGCAAACGCATCTATCTGTAACTTTCCACCTGGCAATACCACAAACAACATCGGAATTAACGAGAAGCTATTGCTGAGCCAGCAGCAGGTTGGTGCCACACAGAGTTTGTGCACTCCATAATCAAACACTTATTCTCAATGTCGAGTCATCAACCAACCTTTAGATAAGAATCAACAATCAACCCCAACGAAGGCAAGCACACAGGAAAAAACGGCAAATACAGGCCTACACATCAAATACCACGAATTTTGGATGCATATAGACATCGGTTTTGCATCCTAAATCCGAGAAATTGAAACTACCGCGGTGGTGCAAAAAAAAAGAAAGCGACCGCTGGTCATGTTCCGCGCTGGTAACATGCGCACAAACGCACAACCCATCACACACATTCACCGCAACCTGCCAAACACAAAGCAACACCACATACGACGCCCGTCAATCACCGGCAAGTGCTTGAAAAGGCGTGACTAATACTTATGGCATACGAATTACGCGACGACTAACATACCACATAGTTTAATTATGCGAGTATTGTTCCCTTTCCACCTCAAACGCAAGCTGTTCTGAGCCATGCCAACCAGAAAACACCACTGGCGGAGGCTTGGCTCCGAAGTCGCCCCCAGGGTGGCCGGCTGTCGTCCTAACGGCCTCGCAGGGCGCCATCGCAAGCGTGGCGACAGGCCAGCAGCACCAGGCGCTGCCCGTGCCCTCGCCGGCGCGTAAAGGTCAGGGGGCAACGAGGCACGGTCACAGCCACTCCTCCCCGTCACCCCAGCCCGCCGCTGAGGTGGCCGGGGTCGCCGGGGTCGCCGGGGCCTGCCCGACCCCGACGACCCCGGGGCTGCTGGGAGCGTGCCGCGGCCGTAAGCCGCCCGGCGGCCGGAGCCGAGCCGCGGCAACCTGTCGTCCGGTCCGCGCCGCGCCGCGGGAGCCGCACAAAAACTGGGCGCAGGTGGCAAGCCGCGGGCCCATCACAGCCTCCCCGGGCCGGCGGCGGGTCACGTGGGTCGGCGGCCCCACAGCAATCGCTCGCGCGGACGGACCGGAGGAGGACCCGCCCCGGCCGGGAGGACGTCCACGGTATCTCCAGCGATAGCAAGTGGCGCGTGCCTCCGCCGCCAGCCGCATCAGAGCCCGACCAGCCCGGCCCGACCAGCTCGACGGGGGGTAGGAGTCGCTGCTGGCAAGGGCCCTGCCCGCCGTCTGGCGCCCGTCGCAGGGCGGTCGCGCGCGCGTCAGGTGCGCCGGCGCGCCGCAGCGCCGCGCCTGCCACCGGACGGCAAACACGCCGGCCCGACCGCCCTCCAAGCAAATAAACGGCGGCGCGGCGCACGTGTGACGTCACCACGCCAGGACGGGCGCGTCGTCGACGTCCCCGTAAAATATCTTCTTAAAAGGTGACGTCATGCATGCCGTTTGTAGGGCTGTACTCAACATGCTCACGGAGAGGCGTAGCGGTGACGTTGGGGCTGACGTCAGGGTTGACGTCATCCTACAGCCTCTGCCATGACGTCACGCATGCCTCTGGAGTGACGTCAGCGGCAATTCGGCACGACTGAACGGCGCCGCCACACGCGGCGCCTTTAAATTCGGTCCGTCCGGCACCCCGTCTCGCCGGGCAACCAAAGTGGTCGTGGGAGCCACGGGCGGGCCCAGCTGGCGACGGGGGGCTGGGCGGACAGGGCGTGGCCGCAAGTCCGCGGGCGCGGACCGGCCGGGCCAGGCCGCCGCCGCAGTCTTACCGTGCAGCTGCGCCAGCGAGTGCATCGTGCCGTGGCCGCAGTTGGCGTAACCTGCAAGGCGACAGACGCACGGTCACGATTCGCTTCGGTCCTGCCCGGCAGACAGGACGTGGTGCGAACGGCCGGTCGCCGGCAGCGGCAGAGGGCATCGCAGCGGCGCTCGGGGAGATCGCGCGGAGGGGGGGGGGGACGCCGCCGCACCGGCGACACACCTGTCGGGCGCCCCGGCGTCACGGCGAGACATGGGGCGGGACGGCGCGGTAACACGGCGCGGAGCCAGGCAGCGCCAGCCGAGTGCGACAAACGCATGGCAGCATACTCGGAGGCGGGCCGACGGGCGCCGCCGCCGTCCGCCAGCCGGCCGACATCCTCCAGACCGCACCGCCGCGGCGGATAAACACACGCACACGGGCGCCAGTCATGGGCAACAGGGCGTGCGCATATACACGTGACGGCTGCAGCGCCGCCCAGTCGGCACTGAGACATGATGGTGGGTGGTCAGCGGCCGGGTCGCCCCCGGGCTTCGACACGAACACACGCCGTGCCAGCGCCGGCCCCAGCACGGCCGCGCAGCGTGCCCAATCGCGCCGCAGCACGCTCGGCCGCTTCTTGCCACGCCACGCCAGCTGGTGCCGACGGGCGCGTGACTCGCCTCGACCGCCAGGCGCGAGTCGGGCGGGGTCAGGCCGCCGAGGCGAAAGACGAGGCAGCGGCCGAGCAGGACGGGCCGCGGCGGGCCTCGCGTCAGGGCACCGAAGCGGGCCTCGCGTCAGGTCACCGAGGTGGCCTCGCGTCAGGTTACCGCGGCGGCCTAGCGTCAGGTCACCGAAGCGGGCCTCGCGTCAGGTCACCGAGGTGGCCTCGCGTCAGGTTACCGCGGCGGCCTAGCGTCAGGTCACCGAAGCGGGCTTCGCGTCAGGTCACCGAGGTGGCCTCGTGTTAGGTCAAAGCGGCGAGCTTCGCGTCAGGTCAGGGCGGCAGGCGGGCCTGTCGTCAGGTCAGGGCGGCGGTCCTGTCGTCAGGTCACGGCGGCGGGCCTGTCGTCAGGCCACCGAGAGGCCCGCCGCCCGAGCACGAGCGCCGGTCCCGGCCCTGGTCCCGTCACGGTGGCATCGCTGCGCCGACAGTGGCGCGTGCGGACACGCCTCCACACGAGCCGCTCTGGACGGGGAGGAGAGGAGGCAGGGTGGAGGGGGGGGGGGGGGGGGGAGGGGGCGCGGGTGAGCTCCGCTCCGATCAGCACACAAATGCACATGATCCGGTCAAATGCAGCACACATTCCTGCCGCGCAATAAACATTCCTGGGACTATCCAGTTTGATGGAGCCACATACTTCACGGCTGAGCATTCGGTAACTCTGAGAGCGAGGCGAATTAAAAATGCTGTGCATTCCTGTCCAGCAAGACACCATTTAGGCACCGTTGTTCATTACATACCGTATTCCGCACCTCTCACACGATTTCTGCCAGTTAGAGGCACGGTAAGAATCCACCCCACTTTTTGTTTTTCCTTCCTCGATGCGCGTCGGCGGCCGCTTAGGGCCGGGACACTACAAACCAGTCAAGGCTGGCCACACTGTTCTAACCGAGGTCATGAAGAAGACGGGGTTGCTGTCCTCCGTTGATGACGTCACAGACCACAACCGCCCGACAGATGACCTTCTGAAGCCATCGCACGGGCAAAAGGCCGGGCCGACGCCAAACCCAAGGAGACGGCTGACGGCATCACCGAAAACAAAACTAAACGCAATGTTGCCGATAATAGTTTCCTAGACCATCGGCAGTTTCAAACGTTTCTTGAAGACCGACGCACAATGCGCGGCGACTCGGCAGCCAACAAATGTACCTTCCGACGCCGTGACGTGGAGATTTCAGCGGTGCTTCCTCCCCTCAGCCCGTTTAAGCGGCGCACAAAACCGCCGCGTCATTTGTACAGATTCAGCGCAGGGCAAGTGAACTACCAGCGGCAAATCTGCTGACGGTCGTTGAAGCCATACTGAGCCCTCGAGCGTCGACGTTCGCCAACTAAAAACACGCCCCGCTAAAAGGCGCATACATGAAGCAGCATACAGCCGGAATGCATGGGAGCAATACGCAGCGTGACACGTGAACTCCATAAACCTAAATTCGCACAAACCCGTGCAAATCCGGTACCAACTGGCAATAACACAGCACAGCGCAGGACAATAGCAGAAGCAGAGTCTCGGTCCCCGAGAGTTCCGAGCGCGGAGAAGTAAGGCAGAGGTGTAAAGAAGCGGGCGCCCGCGGGCGCAGCCGGCGGACACACGACCCCCGACCGGTCGTGACCCGGGCGGTGCGCGACGTGGCGGGCGGCGGTAACGATCGGCGCCGCAGACGTCTGGCGGCCCGGCTGACCGGCCCCCCGCCGTCGTAACCTCGCCCGACGCGTCTGAGCCCGCTGACCCGGCGGGCAGGGCGCCACTGCCGCCGCTCACACAAAGCGTCCGGCCACAGGCCCGTCCGCGCGCCTGGGACGCGGCGGGTTTCGAGGCAGCATTATCGCCAGTCGTGGTCGCTAGCGTCGGGGCGGGGAGCGCGCTCGGGCCGCCAGCCCCGAGGCCGACTCGGCCGGCGGGGAGGCGGAGAGCCTCCGCCAAGGCCCGCGGCGACCGCCGCCCGCTGGTCGATATCTGTGCCGGTCGGCGGCGAATGCGCGCCGGTCACAGCCGCGCTATTGACCCGCCAGCCGGCCGGCCGGCGGCCTGCGTGTCACGCAGCGGACAACCCGGCCGACGGGCGACGAGGGATGCGTCGCCGCCGCCACCGCCGCCGGCCGGCCGGCGGCCT